GACGGCAGAGCGTGGGATGGTCTATTGCGTGAGGTTTGAGGATAGGGGGGGGCTCCTTGCGCTCCATCGCATGTCCGCTCTTCGAGTGCTCGGGGGGAACTTGGAAGGGTGTAAAACACCCATCATGTTCACTGTTCTGGCGTGGCCATCCACGGGCCACATCGATCTTCACTCTAACACTTCTCCTTTATTCCTCCTTCTTAGCACGGAAACCACGTCACGTGTCCTGTGCGCGCGCTGTTGCTGTGCTGCTGTTCTTGGTCTTCTGGTTGTGGTTCCTGTGCTTCTAGCAAACTCGCGCCAGTGCTGTTTCATTTGGGCACGATCGCCCTTAGGCCTTCGTTCACGGTGCATACATGTCCGACCTTAACCCGTGTGTGAACGGCAGCTGCTGCCCTTACGGACGGCAGCGCTTGGTATGGACTATTGCGTGAGGTTTGAGGGATAGCGGGGGGGCCCGTTGCGCTGCTTTGTATGTCCGCTCTTGGAGTGCTCGGAAGCAAATTGGCAGCGTGCAAAGCACCCATCATGTTGCCTGTCGTGGCATGGACATCCGCGCGCAACAAGGATCGCCACTCTAGGACTACTCCTTTGTTCCTCCTTCATTGCACAGACACGACGCGACGTGTCCTGTGCGCGCGCTGTTGCTGTGCTGCTGTTCTTCTTCTTCTGGTTGTGGTTCCTGTGCTTCTAGCAAACTTGCGCCCGCAACGACATCTTGCAATGTACTTGCAGTTTGCCGTGCGCCAATCGCCATGTAAGCCTCGTATGCAAGCCTCACAATTCATTCTCCTGCTGCACTCGCCTCGCCAGCCTGGCCCCATTCCGTTCCTAGCACATGTCCTTGCACACCTTACGATCATCCAACTTACAGCCTTTGGAAACCGCGGGCAGCTGCTTCACAAGGAACCCCCCTCCGTTTAAGCAGCCCCTCGCACAAATGTGTCCGGTCGTACTCTGCCGAATAGACCCTCCGTACATCGTCCCCAAAGCCAGGAGCGAATTTTGCCTCGCGGATGCGCACGTGCGTTTCGAAAAATGCGCCTGTACAAGTGTATGTAAATTTTCTTGGCGAAAAGTCGTGGTGTGTCAGCGCGCTTGTGCGGCAGCATGTTGGCCACAGTTGCACGCGGCAAGCAGGACCGTAGGAATGTATGGCTGTCTTGACGTAACTGAAAGCATATAACTTGGTATCAACACGCGCTCATGGAATGGCCGCGGAAGATGAAGCGCCTGGCGAAGCGGCACTTTTCGAAAAGACGTGGCGCCTGCTTACATACGCAAACAGCATCTTTTTTCGTCTGAAGTCAAAATACAAACTGTCGCAAATTAAAGATAGCATACACAAAATTAAACATAAGAACTGGAAAATCGGTCACAGCTGTGTAACTGAAATGGACGCCGCAGAAAACTTGGAGCAGGTTTTTTCTGTGCATATGGCCGCTCCTGCGTTCTGTGCATATGGCCGCTCCTTGGACGCCATTGACCAACTGCGGATAGGCCTAGTGGATGTTGGACTTGGCTTCTTTTCAGCAGCGTTTGGATTTGTTGCCGGTAAGTACTTGGCATACCGTGCCAAGTGCCTCTTCAGTGTGTGGACATTGTGCAAGCCGTACTTGCTGCTCATGTATGTTCTTCGCCAGAGCGCCCGGCTGCAAGAGCAGAATACAGAGGTCAGTGCATAGCGAGCATGCTAGTGATGCTGCAAACGATGCATGCTGGGATGTTGGACACGGATCCCGCCGATGCCAAGCAGCAACATGCATGTACTACTTCAGGACATGACCATCATGCCCGCCTGCATGTACAGGCTGTGCTGGAAAGGGCGCTCCTCGACTACAAGTCTCAGAACCCTAACGCGAGTGATGAGGATGCCATCCATCACATTCTCAAGCACAAGCTGCCGGCAACATTGCCCAACACGCCTGCATGGCACCGCAGCAACCTCCAAGATTTGTTGTGCATGGTGGACCGCTTTGGCATGCCGTCGTTCTTCCTCACGCTTACAACCGATGAAGTGTCTGCCACACGCTGGCCCGAAGTGCAGTCGCTGGAGCAAAAGCTGCAGGAGTAAGCCGCACGCACTTTAATCTGCATCACTTGGCAAGCATCCTTGCATGGCGCTGACCGCCTCCTGTCCCTGCCCAGCATGGCAGTCAGTCACCCATCACCCAGATATGCACTGCTCTGGCTGTGCTGTGCCATTGTCCATTGCCTGCAGCTTCTGTGCTGGCTTCACATGGCAAGACGCCCCAGCTGAGAATGCATTCATCGCCCACAAGCGCGTGCAGTCCTTCATGACTGACGTGCTGAAGGCAGGCCGGGGGGCAGTCCAGGACGGCGGGGCCCTAGGACGCGTCACCAACTGGGTAGTGCGTTATGAGGTTCAGAACTGGCACAGCCTGCATGCGCACATTGTGCTGTGGGTGCACCCAGAGGATGTGGACCGGGCAGCATCGGAGATTGTCGCCTGTGTACCCGCTGTGTACCGTGGGGATGATAGCCATCCATTGTGCCCCTACACAGCAGAGTACTGGCAGCAGCCTGATGATCCATGCCAGCGCAACCTGTTTCATCATGTTTTGCGCAAGCAGATGCACACCTGCTCGTCTAGCGGCCATGCTGGCTGCTGTGCATCTGGCGTATGCAAGTACAAGTTCCCATGGGCACCATACTGAGAGTCCACTCCTGCCATCGACCCCGCGACCTTGCGTTACCAGTACTACCGGCCGTCATGGGCGCATCGGAATGTGGTCCCGTACCACCCCACGCTGGCACTGCTGTGGGGCGCCCACATGAATATACAGCGGATCAACTCAGCGACGTGGTCGTTCTACGTGCTCAAGTACGCCATGAAGGTGCGTGCACATGGTGTGCTGATTCCGAGAAGCACCACTGCAGCCTGTCGCCAGGCTGCAGTGCTGGCAACCTGTGCCTTTACACAAGGCCACCTGATCATTGCCGTGGCACTGACACGCGCTCGATGGCGCCCTGTCTGCATGCTTCTTGCAGACGGAGCCAATGGGGAATGTCGACCTCACTGCTGTGTCACGGGTGGCACTGGGCGTGCCAGCGGACAGCAGCACGGGTGCAGCAGGGCGTGACTACTTCGTGCGCCTCGCATCAGCATACCTGGCAGCCACAGTCATCAGCCCCACGCTGGCATACCTGACTGCGGCCAACATTCACACAGTAGGTACCAGGCATGCACAATGTGCCTTTCTGTTCGGCAGCATCATCTCACCGGTGTACTCATCATCTGTGCTGCCACACCGCACGTGCCGACAGGTGACCATGTCAGTCGGTGTGCAGTACATTGACTCGTCACCACCCACGAGCCGGACACGGCGCGTGCTGCAGACTGGCCCCATCGGCAGGACACATGGCCATCTGCACCTCAGCATGCCACCTGTGGACATTTACACGCTCCGTCCTGCATGCTTGGAAGATGTGGCCTTCTACGATTACTTCACCAAGTACCGAGTGTATGATGGTGACGGGTGCCCGCGTGGCGGCATTTTCTGCGGCCTTGCTACCAATGGCCAGCGTGTGTTTCGGATGGCGGAGCCGCGCTTGGTCCGCTTCACTGATGTGAACCCCGCTTATAACCCCGAGGCCTTTTTCTACAACCTGCTGCTCAAGCAAGTGCCGTTCCGCCATGAAAGGTGCCTGCTGTCACCACAGAACGCGTCGCAGACATACTTCGAGGAGTGCCAACTACGCGAGCTGGTCAAGGATATGGCAGACTTGGAGCGCTATGTGCAGGCGTGAGTGCTGCCACAGACTTGCACACAGCCATTCTTTAGCCCATTCATCATTGTCATGACATGCACTTGCCTCTCCCACGTCCTTGTCCCACTGCCACGCCTGCAGCTATGGTGAGTACCACCTGTACGAAAGCGACAGGCGGCATGCCTTGCTGGCCACCTTGCTGGCAAAGTACAGCCCAGACGAAGGACTGGACCTCCTTGGCGATGACCTCCTTGACACCCTTGCTGGTGGCGAGCTGCCCATGCCTGCCCCTCGTCCCACCCCCGAGGGGCAACCCATGCTCCAGCAGAACCGTGACCAGCGGGCACTGCAAGGACGGTTGGATGCCCTGGCTGCAGAGTTCGGCGACTTGGATGAGTTGCCATTCACACCACAGCAAGAAACAGCTGTCAATGCTATCCTGGCGCAGCAGGCTGGCATTGTGGTGCTGAGCGGCGGTCCAGGCTGTGGCAAAACATTCGTGACCAAGAAGCTCACACGACTGCTGCGGGCTGCAGGGAAGTCGGTGCACCTGTCTGCCAGCACAGGGGCAGCCGCCGTGCGCTTGAGCCAGTTTGCGACCACCAACCATACCGCCTTCAACCTGCCAGTCAGCCAGCAGCACCGGCCCACAGCCTGCATGCGGCAGATGCGCACCACAGATGTGCGGGTACAAGTGCTGCAGGCAGCAGACGTCCTCATCCTGGATGAGTTCTCCATGATGACTGCAGAGCACTTGATGCACATCCTCATCACATTGTGGCATGCCAGCGAAGAGCCGTCCATCGAGGCCATGCTGCGCAACAAGCTCATCATCCTAGTTGGCGATGATGCACAGGTGTGCAACTGTGTCCTGCACATCCGTTTGGGGTTTGTAGGCATCAAGGTGCACTGGCTCCATGCCTACAGTGCTTACAGTGCTTGTCCCATGCTACCCTCTGTCTCTGGCCGGCAAATCGCCCCCCCTCACCAACACTCTCTTCCCCCCTGCTGTCTCTCCCCACTCTTGCACCTCCACAGCTGGCCCCTGTCTGCAAGCATCAGCGCATGCATGAGGACGAACCCGCAGCCACAGCTGTGTGCCGTCATTGCCACATCTCCGCCTCGCCCTATTGGCACACCGCCACACGTCTGAACCTGAGTGTCTCTGTACGGCATGCAAAGGACCCGGCATACAGCAGCCTGCTTGACATCATCCGCCAGCGTGCGCCCACCCAGGCCGAGCTGGATGCTGTGTTTGGGGTATGCACACCGGACAACGTGCACTTCATCAGCGAGTCGCAGGTGGCGGCCACATGTGACGCAGACACCACAGTGCTGTGCACTCATCGGGAGGATGCGCTGCAGCATAACCTTGCCATTCTGCGGCGCCACCCTCGGCGAAGTACGCCCCTGCCCCCTGTCCCACAACATCACTGCCCCAGACGCCATGCTGGCCCTGGACCAATGGCTCCAAGAGCCCACATTTCGGACACTGCCCTGCGTGGCTGTCGGTGCGCGCGTCTGCCTAACTGACAATGTCTCCCTGGCCCGCGGAGCTGCCAATGGCGCGACTGGCACTGTGGTGGAGCTGCAGTTCGATACAGATGGCCATGTCGACAAAGTCAAGGTCCAGCTGGCAACCACCGGGAAGACAATCACGCTGGGGCGCAGTATCACACGCTACAAGATCCTCAACGGTGTCCGATACTTCAAGTCCACATTCCCCCTCTGCCTTGCATGGGCCATCACAACACACCGTGCACAGGTGCGTGCTTCTGTTGCTGCACGCTTGCTGGCCTTGCATGCATGGACAGCCGCATGTCCAAACTCGTCCGAGCACCCTCCGCTAACCATGCCATCCACACCCCCACATCCTCGCCTGCAATGCTCACGCTATATGCAGGGTGCAACCCTCGCCACGCGCACCATCATCCATGCCCGGGATGCGTTCACGCCGGGACTGCTGTATGTCATGCTGTCACGTGTCACGGAGAGCCGCCTGATCAAGATCGTGGGCTCCCTGTCGCCTAGCTTGTTCAACCCGGTCATTCTGCCATGGACCACGAATCCCATAGCCAACACAACAGCACCAACTGCCGATCCATCGCAGCCAGCAGCGGTCCCCGCACCTGCCCCGGAGGACCCGCACCATGTGCAGGTGCACCCTGTCAGACAGCCAGCCAGCACAACCTTGCACCCTCCAGTGGAACCGAGCCGACTGCGTGAACCCTATGTAGGCACCACCGAGGCCATGACGTTTGCAGAGCACCTTGGCATGTAGACAGAAGCAAGCCCCCCTGCTATCATCCGAGCCTCTGCCATGTCCGAAACATGTCGTGTGCCTATGTGACCACCGCTGACGCTGTACCATTTGAAGGGCACTTTGGTCCTACACAGATGCACGACCATCTGCACATCTGGACAGGCACGACTGTAACCATCCTGTAGCCTGTCCCTGCCCAAATCAGAACGTGCCCCACGTGAGAAAGTTGTAACGCTGCAGCCCCACCGCCTCACAAGGCGCCTGCCAGCCCTCAAACAACCCGTCTAGAGCAGCTCCGCCCGGCAGAGCATCCACAGCTGCACGCCCTGCCTTGGCAGCCTCACGTACCGCCGCACGGCTGCAAGCAGTCTTTGCCTGCATCAGCCTCTCTTGCACCTGCGCCTGCATGGCTTGCAGCTCCTGGGACCCGCCAGCCTTTGTAGCACGCGCCAGCAGCTGCTGCACGTCCCAGGGCCGCACAAATGCAGATAAGCCCATCCGCACTGCCTCACTGCCAGGCGGTACCACTGGCGCGATGGTGCCGTGCTCCAAAGCGCCAGCCGCCAGCACGACCAGGGTCATGTTGAGGGGCAGCAGCTGCAGGCCTAGACTAGGCACACAAAAGGGCCCGCCTTGCAAGGTCCCACGCCCAGCTGGCAACCACAGGATCACTGACAGCGGTCCGTCTCCTCCATCCAAGTGCAGCTGCACCCCTTGATTGCTTGTACACGCCACCAGGTTGAAAGGTGTGCCGCCCAGCAGATAGGGCGCGGCATGTGATGTCACCAGCTTCTCCCTGCAACCATAAGCAAGAAATAAGATGCATGCAGCAGCTTCACACCATGCCAAGCTGCCATCCCAGACCACCAGCCCTGCCTAGGATGCACCCTGCATTGCGCGTCAACTTGCCTGAGCGCCGCCATGCACGGAAAGTACTTTGCAGCCATGGTGTAGATGGCTTCGGCCAGCTGGGTGGCGGCCGAATAGCATACGCCAGGTTGGAGGCACTCCGCATCACGCTGGCGCATTGGTGCATACCTGCAGACACATCACAGCAACTCTCAGTCCGTGCTCGCGATTCCGTTTCCATCTCGCATGTGGCAGCCTCTCCATGCAACCCATCCCACAAAAGCCTGCCGCTATGCAGGGGCAGAGGGACAAGCGCCTGTACGAGGCGCTGGCTCGCCCACTGCACTGCACACTCCTGGTCAATCCAGTGCAGCCCGGATAGGGTGCACAGCCTGTACAAGGCTTGTGGCCTATCTAGGAGCACACCAGGCGAATCCCCCACACATGCCCTCCCTCCACTGCCAGCTACTGATACATAACAGGCATGCTGTACATCCCGCTCCTCCAACAGCCTGCCGGGATGCCGTGGCAGAGGATCAGATACCTGTACAGTGGCACTGGCTGACCTACCGCACCACGCAGGCCTGATTTACCCTGGCCACCCAGCGGGGGTGCACAGCCTGCACAAGGTTGGTGGCCCATCCAGCAGCAGCCGATGCACATCCCCATGCGCCAGCCCGCCCTCCACAGCATGCTTCTCGCAGTTTGCAGCCACGCAGTGCCAGTCTTCCAAAACACGGCTGCCAGAATACAGACACGGAGGATCAGACGCCTGTAAGAAGCGCTGGCTCCCTGACTGCACCCCACACACCTGGTCACCCAGCACGCACAGATGGGGTGCACAGCCTGCACAAGGCTGCTGGCCCATCACAGTGCACGCCAGGCACATTTCCTGTGCATGCCTCGCTGCCCCGCCCATTTCTGAAAACGCCCGACCTGTTGCAACACCGATGAACCCTGCCTGCCACACCCTCCTTGCATTCCACTCCAGGCCTGCTGCACCTTGCAAAACACCCTCCTTGCCTTACCATCCGGCAATGTTGCTCCTGTTGGTAGCGATGTATGCTTTGCCAACCATGTCCACCTTGTGCATAGCCTGCCTGCTGCTTTATGCCGAGATAGCTTGCTCCACAGCTGGCCGACGTCCAGCGCATCCACCTTGGACCGGACCAGATCCACAGCGGTGGGATCGTCCACCTGCACACGTGCGCCAGTTAGGTCGTGTCCAAACAGTACAGGGCCCTAACACAGGTCCAGGCATGACCCTCTTCCCATACTACACGCACCTCCACTTTCGCAAACAGCAAAGTCACCTGCTGCCCGTTCAAAGCTGGCTTGGCAGCCCCCACTTGCACCTCGCCCATCGCCACCTCGGCAGCCCGCTTGAGCTGAGGGACGGTGCCGCACACCACCACCGGAGTGGGACCCGTGATGTCATGCAGCCTGTCTTGCATAGTTGCCAGGTCGCCGTGCTTTACTGGCACCCGGCCCAGCACCGGCGTGAACATCACCCGTGTTTCTGCCGCACCCAGCTCCACCTGCAGCACATCCAGCAGCCGGCGGCGCGCCCTCAAGCCCAGCACGTCCGTCATGCTGGCCGGCAGCGACGGGTTCTGCTGGTCGGACCACAGGATTCCGTCTGGCACCGACACTGCAGAGGCGCACCCCAGAGGCCGGTCCACTTGCACACCGGCAGCCACTCGTTCGTTTGGCCTGCACAGATGGGGCACAGCATTTTCTCTCTAGGCCGGCACTAGCTTTGGTTGCAGCAGCACGCTGCCAGCACCCTCCCAATGGACATGCAGGTCCTCACCTAATCTTTGCTGCACAGCTGCACGAGTGCGCTGCTGCGACGACCTTGCACCCCTGCCAATCCATTTCCAGCCGCCCTGTGCACGCGTCGCCGCCTGGCAACTGTTCTACAACACAGTCGCAGACAAACAACACGCGGCCCCTGGCCGAAGCAGCAGCGGCCCTCAAGCGCGGATAAAAGTCGCGCTGCACAAGGTCGCCCAGCGACTTGCAGCCGTCCGCTGAACTGCCCGCTGGTAGCTGAGCGTTAAAATCCTCATTGTCCTCGAAGCGAGGCCGCAGCTCGGTGAGCGCCGCGATGGCCCAACGCCGGGCCATCACCGCTTTGGCGCGCTGCGGCACAACTTCAGTGCGGGCTTCGTGCAACTATGATGTCACAGGGCGAATGCTGCTGTTTCTGCAAATCCGTTCTATTCTATCGCCGATGGGCAAAGGCTGGAATGGTTGGCGATCCGAGCTTTGGTGACCGGCTAACACTCAGTCAATCGCTTGCAGAACACAAACGCTTACAGGGTCGCTCGAATCTTTGCAATGCCTTCGCATCATGGTCACAATCCATTCTCCTGCTGCACTCGCCTCGCCAGCCTGGCCCCATTCCGTTCCTAGCACATGTCCTTGCACACCTTACGATCATCCAACTTACAGCCTTTGGAAACGCGGGCAGCTGCTTCACAAGGACCCCCCTCGTTTGTAGCCACACCTGTACAACACCATGTAACCTGTGCTTACTAATATCAATCTTCCTACGACAGTGCGGCGCTTACTGCACCCGTCCAAGGAATTCCATATTCATTTACCATGTAGTTGCTGCGTGTTCTCTTGGTTTCTCCTGGCTCACTGTGCTTTATTAGCAGCCAGCTGCGTACTGATCCTCTGTGCACGTCAGTTATGATCTGAAGTTTCGATATATGTATTTCATCATTTGAATTAACCTAGTCTTTGCGTATCATCGAAAAGCACTATGATTATGACGCTGCAGCTCCTCATCGACGGCTATCGGGACTGTGCCCGTGCCGTATTAAGCCACCTGACCCGCCGCCAGGCCTTGCTGGCTTCACTTACATGCAAAGGAGCGTGTGAGCTGATTTTGGAAATGCTGGAGCACCGGGAGAGCCCATTCCGCCAGGCAATGGTGGTCGCTTGCTCTCAGCCCGGAAGGCTAATTGAGATTGACATCCTTAATGTGAGCAAGTATCCTATAGCTCAAAGGCCCTTTGGAGTCGCGCCTGGCGTTAATGCAGAGATTACGGAACTGCCTTCCTCCACGAAAACATTTCGGTGGAAACTCACTATCAGTGCTTATTTATTTCGCATGCGCTTCAATGCGCTTCCAAAAATAGCATATTATTTATGCTATTGATGAATATATATATATATATCCAGCAGGTCGTGTTCCCTATCTGCCCCGATGGCCAAGTGTCCACATTCCGGTTGCATGCACACCTCGTTTTCGCTTTCGCCTTTCCTACAGGCCGTCAACCCCAATCGTGCAGTTATGTGGAATGCATGGCCTGTAGAGCAGCCACGCTGCCGCAAGCGGCGGCGGCGGTTACTGTTCACTGAGGGCCGCACACGTAACGTGCTGCCAAAGGATCCCTGGATGACAGGCATCACCACGGGGCCCCCGGCATGGGAAACCGTACGAATGGCTGCAGGAGCAGCTGCAGCAGCAGTAGCATCCGCAGCTTCATCTTTGCTGGCAGCGTCCGACGCGGCAGCTGACCGACGGTTCACTGGCGACAGCGGTGATGGCGGCGATGCAGCCCGGACGAACGGGGACGTTCCACAATGGCTTCGGCGCCGACCCGTGGGCCCGACGCTGTACGCCTGCTGCTACAGCGCCCCAGGCATAGTGGCCTTTGACGCCACGACGCTACTGCCTCTAGGCATCCTCATCACTTTCGACACGAACCAGTTTAATCTGGCAACGCCCGAGGGAATCTGCGCCTCTCACGACAATGTCTTCGTAATTAACAGCGTGGATTGCACTATAGCACGGATAGGACTGCAGGCCTGGACGCGTGGCAGCGGTGGCGACGCCGCCGCCACCACTACCCGGCGGCACGCTAGGTACGGCGGTGAACTGCCGTACGGTCGCGGAGTCGTACTGGCGACTATCACCGCTGGGGTGGGCTGGATTGGGTGGGGCATGGCGCTGGCGCCCGATGGCGGCGCCCTGTACTGCGCGGTGGATCTGCCGTACGAGGTATCGAAGCGGCAGTACACTCAGGTCCCACCGCCGCAAACGTCCGGCAACATCCTGTGCGTGCCGTTGCGGTGTTTGGGCCCTGCAGGACAGGAGGACGTGAGGCACATCTCTGCTAACAGAGGGCCGCTGGACGCAGGACCAGTTCAGCTGCCAGCCCCGGACGCCGATGTACCCATACCGCCACCGCCAGCGCCGCCGCCGCCGCAGCAGCACCCAGCCCTGACGGCGGCGGTCGCGTCAGATGGCGTGGCGTACGGACCCCCTGGTCCGGCAGTAGCCGCTTCGCCGTACAATTTCGTACGCGGCGAGCCGGTTTTGCGGCGACCATCGGGTCTATGCTTCTCTCCCGATGGTTGCAGCCTGTGGGTGACGTCGTACGACGGCGGTGTCGTGGAACTGGCGGGACCTGCGCGGGGTCAGCTGGCGGGCACCGTACTGCGGGTGGTGCCGCTGCCGCTACCGCCGCCACCGCCGTCTCCGTCGCCGCCGCCGCCAACGTCACCGGCGGCTGTGAGGAGTCCTCAACAGCAGCAGCAGCCGCAGAGGCGGCGGCGGCGCCATCCACCATCCGGAGCTACAGCCGCCGAAGCCCCCGGGCCGTCAACTCCGCAGCCGTTGCTTTCTGGCCTCTCCGTGTCGGCACCACCGCCACCTAGCTCGAAATCCGCCGCTAGGATGAGCCGCCGCCGCCGCCGGGGGAGTGCTGCTCCTGCGGACTCCGGCGGCGGTGGCGGTGATACGGAGCAAGGAGACGACGGCGGCACCCGTGGCGGCATCATCCCTGCTGCTACTGCTACTGCTACTACTTCCGCGGCTGCTACTGCTGCTGCTCCGATGTGCGACATTTCGACGAAGCAGACGGGACGGCAGACGCGCGTCATGCTGGCCTGGGACCTGTGCTGGGTACCTGTGGTACCTGGCGGCGGCGGCGGGTGCGGCAGTGGCAGCGGAGCTGAGGAAACAGCGGCGGAGGCGGCCTCATCCTCATCTCCTTCCGCATTTTCGTCCTCCTCTGCATTGCGGCGACCGCAGCTTTGCGTGACACTTCACGAGGATCCCTCGCCCGGGGAGAGGTACCCCTCGGGGGCTGAGTGTCGGGGGGGGGTGCTGGCCTTGGACGGGGGGGAGGAGGGGGAGGTGGTGGGAAGGGGGGAAGAGGGAGAGGCGGCCGTGCGCGTGGACGTACGGGTGACGTGGAGGGCGACGCGGGAGCGCTCGCATCCTAGCATGGTCTGTGTGGTTTGATGGGAACGAAGTGAGTATGTCTTTAAGTATGTAAGTAGTTATGTACGTAGAACTGTATGTATGCCTGCAATAAGTGCGGCCGAAAGACACACACGGGAAGCAATGAGAGGCCGTTGTGTTGCGTTTCGTTGCGTTTCGTTGTGTTGCCAGTTGTGTTGCCAGTTGTCGTGCACGTTATTGCCATGATTTGCGTTGTGTTGCGCTGTCGCCACGTCAGTCGCTGCCAGGTCTGAATGTCCAGAGCTTACAAGAGCCCGGAAGTCCAGAGGAGCCCACTGGCAGAGGAAAGGCCTATGGACCCCCGCGAGTTTTCCAGCGTAGTCAAAAAGAGGAAAGTAACAGAAAACAAGAAAAAACGAAAAAAAGGGTTACGAATCTCGTTTGCGAGAGAAAACAGTAACTAGAGTAAGCTACATCTCAGGATTTTACCACTCTGCCATGAGCGTGCGTCGCATCATCATCCTGTTGTGTACGATCTGCGTTCAAGTTCTCTCCTCTGTCCTGTCCTAATCACCTATCTCAATGGCACAGACCTCGTATTAGGCACGGGGGCTCGATATCGTCCCGGCGTGCACCTCCTAGGGGTTGAGGAGCCCTTCCCGTAGGTCGTTGCAGGGGGGGGGGCACTCAAGCCATGAAACACATGAAACTCATCTTTTACTGCATGGTTATTGCTACAGACCCTACACCAGCGCTCTTGGCGCGACCGACAGAGCGGGGTCGGCTAACCTCCAAAGGCCCCTACGCCCCTACGCGAAACGGCAGCGATGACAAGTACGACTTTGCATGAATGTAGTACGTCGTGTGTTTCGGTGGTTCCATCCAATGGGTATGCCGCCACATCTTAACCCCTGGTTTACGGCTTGTCCGACACAGATTCGTGGGGTGTAGTAGTATTGTAAGACGCGGGTTCTGCCAGTCATCATCGAATCGCTCCTTCAATATTTCCATGACAGCTCTCAACATTGATCGGGTTCGAAGAAATGAAATCGACCTTCCCCTTTTCATCCGGGTCTGGGTGAAGCTCCGGGAAGTGCCCTGAGCTCCTGAGGCCCCTGAGGATGAGGATCACGGCACCCCAGTTGGTGGCAGTATAATCAGAACGCACTGTAAGACGTATCTCCTCACGCAAAACATTGTGAGAAAGACAGTCGCCTTCGCGAGGATAACCCTGTTCCAAAAACGGTGAAATAAGTGAGGCCCAGTGAAGGTGGAGGGGCCATTGACCAAGCTCCCTAAACAACACACGATTATCCGGTATCCTCCCTAACCCAGAAGGATGCTTTAGAGACGTGCGTTGCAGCTCGACCATGCAGTTCTCTTGAGACCTTCCGAAATGGCAAGGAAAGTGGGTAAGGGAAGAAAGGAAGACAAATAGACGCGGAGTACCGGAGAGATGTTTAAGCAGCCTCTCGCACAAATGTGTCCGGTCGTACTTCGCGAATAAAGCCTAAGTACACTCGTCCAAAAAAAGCCAGGAGCGAATTTTGCCGCGCAGATGCGCGCGTACGATTCGCAAAATGCGCCTGTACAAGTGTATATAAAATTTCTTGGCGGATGAGGACCAGGTGCGCCAGCGCGTTGCGCAGGTGGGCATGTTGGCCATAGCCGCACGCTGGACTATTGCGTGGATGCTTTGCAGTAAATAAAAGCACCTAAAGCCAACGGCGTAGCTTGCAACTCTGGGCTCGTGAAACTGCCGCGGCAGATGAAGCGGTCGGCGAAGAATCAGCCATAAGGCGCCTGCTTTCGGTAGCGCAGCGCATAATGCACATTGTTCCGACTAAACTCAAGTTACACTCTTACGAAATAAATAATAACAACGCAGAATTAGGTAAAGAGAAGAATCGCGAAAGTCGTTCAGAACCTTGCAAGTAAAATGGATGCCGCTGAGGGCTTGGAACAGCTTTTCGCAGCGCATTCGGCCGTGCCTGCGTTAGCCGTGTTGCAGCTACTACGGAAGGACTTGAGCCAGCAGCAAGCTCAAATTCTGTTTAAGAACCACCGGCATTGTCTTCAGACGGGAACATGTAGTTTTGGTCGGCGCGGGCGAGCAGCGTACGCATTGCGCACAGGTACCGAGGTGCAGCGTCTCAGGATGGATTTCAGCCAACAAAGCCTCAAGAGCTGCTGCACAACCACCGGTGTGTCTTCAGTTGGGCACGTGTAGTTTTGGTCGGGGGGGTCGAGCATCGTATGCATGGCGCACAGAAACCAAGGTGCAGCGTCTCTGTAACATCGCCAACATATCCGGAACGCACGCGGTGGCAGGCTTGCCGAGCACGAAATGAAGGGGGGTCGCATCTCACCATTCAACTAAGCATGCATGTGCTCGGTTGAATGCTCGGTAGCATGCGAGTTTACCTATCAGGATGTTTGTTTGCATATATCCCTCCAAGCGAGAGGGCTTGGACCTATGCTGATGTTCGTTACAAGAAGTGAACTGAGGACTGATGCTACACGTCATGTATACGCGTTGCTTAGCTTGCAACGAGACGCGCCCACGATGAAAGCTTCAGCTACACTCACAATACATTATACTGCTACACTATTCTCTCCAGTCCTACCACATTATATTTCACCGACGTACTTCCGCACCTTCCACATCACCATACGTGCTTTGGAAACGCGGGCAGCTGCTTCACAAGGGCCCCCATCTTTGGCCACACATGCAGCGCCTCCCTGATGTGTGCTATTGCGAAGGTGCCGTACCGTGTTGTACACAGTTAATCGTAAAATACATTGGCTTAGTGTATCTACATGCCTTAGTGTATCTACATGCCTTTTCCCGCGCAACTATACAGGATTATGCAATGACAACTAAGATTGCCTATGCCCGTGATTTAGAAAAATGCTTGCGCGCCACGTGGAGACAAGGTGGCGTGTGTTAGGAACATAATGCGAATGAACAGATAGGCAATCAGGCGTCGCTGCATGTTATTGCATGGTTTATGGAGTATTACCCATTTGCAATAAGGTGACCGGACAAGGGAACAACGGAAGTTGACACTGATGTACGGAACGCCGGAACCGTTGCGTTGACAGCGCCTTGGTCTCTGGGAAAGCCACCGCGGATCCTGCTAAGCTGTTGTAACATTGATTATAATTGTAGCGCAAAATGGCGACGCCAATGCAGCGTGCAGTCATGATTGTGGGCGCCGCTAGCGGTCTCGGCTTCGGTGGTTACTACTTTTCCCAGCTCCAAGAGGTGCAGAAATACGAAAAGGATAAGAAGGATATTGAACGCCTTATTGATACGGAGCGTAAACGTGCAGCGGTGACTGCAAAGGCACAGTCGGAGCAGGAAAATCGCATATCGGACGCCGAGAGCAAAGTGCGCCAGGAACAGAAGGAATTCAACGACTTGGAGCTGAAGCTCGACGAAGCGCGAAAACAAGTTATAAAGCTGGAGCAGCAGCTGAAGGGCAAGAGCGAGGCGTTGCAGTCGAAGCAGAAGGAGTTGCAAAGTGCGCAGTCGCGGCTTGCGGAGCTGCGGGCTGAGGCGGAGCGTGCAAAGCAGTCGGTCACCCTGGGGGAGAAGTCTCTGTTGATGGCCAAGGAGAAGGTTGTGGAGGCGAAGCTGCTAACTAATCCGCTTAATCACCCGAAGGTAAAAGCGCTCCTCGGGGGCAAGTAGGAAATGAGTTATCTCTCTTCCCACGGACCGTAATGAACTTCGTGTTCGGTGCGAGTTCTGTTGCGGGCCCACGGTTCCTTGCGGTGCGCCTATGTGATGCGGACAAAGGACCGGGAAGGCCGCAGCAGTCAGCATGCTGGCGTATCTTAAGCTTTGTTAGGTGACGACGTTGTAGGTAGACTTAACGTTTGAGGAGCGAGACTGCGTGCGAGTTTGAGAGTTTCGGCAACGGTTGTTATGCGCTTTCCGGATCCGGATGCGCCGATGTCGATACAAACCTTCTTTTAGTTTTCGTCGACGGTCAGACTCCGTGGGGTTAGGCTTAAACAGCTTAAACGCTGTGTGAGGACGCTGGTCACGTTTGATTGCGGACGGGCAGGGTGTATGGGGTTGATTTCGCTGCTGCTTGGATCTTAAGGGGTGCAGTTACTGCCACTACCTGTGACTGATGGCGAAGAGTGGCATTGCTCGGGGTGTATGGCAAAGGAGCGAGCTGCTGCCACCTTCAAGGGCCGGAAGTTGACTAGCTGGAGGAGATGTTTGAGGAAGAAGGACAACAGCACAGCTGCGGCTGCTTCGTTCATGCTGACAAATCAGGCCCCGTACGGGGCTCTTGTGCGCCGGTATTCCGGGATAAGACGGGGTGCTTCCATACAACAACTTAAAACGTTGTTCAGGTCCACTCTCCGAAAACACTCAAAGACCATTAAATTCCATCACATGCCGCGCGTTACGGCCCGTTAGCTCTCTGTTGGTGGACGTTTGCATGACCCTATCACACGGCGCGTTCACCGTCGCACTATCCGAACCGCCCGTTAAAAGATGATTATACCATCCACCACAGGCTTGCACGAACAAAGGAAGACAACAAAAATCGTTTTCTGACTGTCGTACTGCGCTGCGCCTCAACAGTTAGGAGTCGTACGAAACCACCACTGTCTTTGCGTCCAAAGCATTACCGGCTGTCTGGTTGCAGACGACTCAGCGGTTACGGGTTACGGGGTTTGTGTGTTGTGGGCTTCAGTTGGCAGGCTTCAGGGAGGGTGCTCCAGAGCGTGCTGGGCTTTGACAGTGTCTTGGTTGCTTGAGGGGCCGAGTGGCGGGCGGGGGAGAAGGGTGTTCAAACTGTTAAGCAGGGCGTAAGCGTGTGCGCTTCATGCACAGGGGTCCTGGAAGGGCCCTGGTCTACACAAATCCAGTCTGACGAAGAGGGGGGCTCACGAGGATGCGAAGTCTACTGAGGTGACGTTGGGTAGGAGGTGGGTCCCTCAGGGAGCTGAGGAGGGCTGAGGAAGGAAGGGGGGAGCGGGGGGACTTCATATGGGGGGACTTCCAAATCGGAGGATCCTGTTGGAAGGGGAGGAGGGGGAGGAGGAGGAGGAGACGGATTTTTCCTTTCGTCAACGGCTTTCCCCTTTTAAGTGGTAGGGATGGTGATGGTGGTGGTGGTAGGCGGGGACTGTGTGGTACGTATGTACGGCTGGTGGGTTTCTTTCCTTTCGTATCTTCGCCGCAATTCGGTTTTATCTTATTACCAATGACGGGCCTAAGCTTTTCGTTAACGCGCTTCAACCCCCGTCGGCCCCGTCGCGGGTCTCTGCGATCCAGAGATACTGCGCTTCTCTGCGATCCCCTTTTCCCTCCCTCTCAGTGCTTCCCCCACCAACACGGCAACCACAGCGCAGCCCAACGGCGCAGCACCACCCTAAAAACACCGCCTAACGCAAAACCCCCGCTGGGGGCCAAAGCAATGCGCAATCCTAAATCCGGGAGCTGCAAAGCAGCACAGCGGTGAGAATCCGTTTCTACGTGTTTCTATGCAGCCCTGTACGGCATCCAGACGTCTGTCGTACATCACAGGAGACCGGCTCCATAGCATAGACAGACAAACCAAGCCGCAGCAGCAGCCGCGTGCTACATACATACGCGCAAACATAGGTGTATACATATATATTCTCGGGGCTCAGCTTTAAAACCCCGCTCACATACATGTGTGCTTCGACGAGGCAAGTCGTTCAGCACGTACATGTCCGGAATGGTCGTGCAAGTGCATCGCGGCACAGCTAAGAATAAAACAGGTCCGACCTCTCGCGCCTGTCGTACAACTCCGTACAGTTGCAGCAGCGACGGATTCCACCTGCCACGGCAACAACTTCTGCTACCGCTGCTTACGACGACAACCCCCGGGTCTGCGTGTTGCAGTACTCCTAAACACGGTTGCTCGCCCTCCAGTTCACGCACAAACCCCCGCACTAGCACACGTCGTTGGATCGCGCACGGGGGCTTCCCCCCCCCCGCCTCCCCACCCTACCCTCAAAGCCTCGGAACTATCGCAGCATCCAAAAACGCCGTACTATAATACTATACCATGTTCCTCCACGAAGCGACGAGACACACCTTCGACATCGTTAAAAGATTATATTATTACCACTACTACCGCTGTATTACTGCTATACCACCATTATTATCACAAACTGTTAGTTACCAACTAACTATAACTGCTAATCGGTACCGCCGCCGTCAGCACCTACCCCCAACCTACCACCCCCCCAACACATATCTGCCCCTACTTATTTCAAGAATAATTTTATTATTTTCGCGGGCTCAGACGGTCGAGGGCAAGTACGGCGCCGGGGTCCTGGTACGGCATCCGGCATCATCAGCCCCCCCAGTTTCCGAGAAACCCTTCAAGCAATGTCCGTCCGCCCTCGCCTCGCCGCGTCACTCACCCGAACTCCTTTCATTTCCAGGCGGTTCTCGTCTCACGAAAAGTTGTACACGATCGCCTTGCCGTCGTCACCCGAGCAAACTAGCTTGTCGTACGAGGCCTCCATGCAGCGTACGGCAGCACGATTGGCACCCAGAGCGTACAACGTCCGGCCGCTCTGCGGATTGGTTTCGGAGTTTAACGGGGTGTTCTGAAAGCTTTGGCGTGGGGTTAAAAATCTATCCGCGAAACCGTACACCCCACGGAAACAGCATCCCACGTGTGTGTGTGTGTGTTTGGGGCCCAGGTCGAGTTTAGGGTTTTCCATTGGTTCGCCTACAGAATGCCGTACACACAAACAAGGCCCCGCGCACTCACACAAACAGGGCCGCACATGCCTGTCCCCACCCCCGCAAACCCAACACACGCACCCGGTCACTTTACACGCCACCTTTCCCCCTTTCCCCCTTTCCCCCTTCCCCTCGTATTCCCTTGGGGTCTGGGGCTCCCTGTAATGCCCACTACTACCACTACTACCGTTCCCACGCTATATGCCCACACCCACCCCTCAAACCCCCCAACCAAGCCCACCTGGACGTCAATGAAATGAATGGAGCCGTCGCCGCAGCCAACTACTGCCGTACCTCCCGCCGCCGTCATGCTGTACGGAAAATTCGTTAGCCGTGCAGTTGCAGACAACGCAAAGCCCAGTCGCGGGTCCAGCACTCGGCACGTTCCATCTGCCCCCGCAGTCACCACCAGACCGGAGACCGCGGGGCCCCCCGCGATAATATCGCCCACTGCGCCATGACCCTGGAGGACACAAGAGGGGCGTGTGTATGTATGTATGTATGTATGTATGTATGTATGTATGTATGTATGTATGTATGTATGTATGTATGTATGTATGTATGTATGTATGTATGTATGTGAAAGCGGGATGTGTATGGCGTAATGACGTAACGGTGAGAGCACCCCGGGCCCTACTCGGATTTAAAAACCGTTTACTCCCAACCGCCAACTGACCTGCTCGTTGACGTGTAACTGCACCTTGGCCACGTTAGCCCTGTGTACGGGAAATAAGGAAAGAAAAATACGCATTTGCATATGTACATACAGACATGAGGACGCCACAGGGCGAAACACGAAAGGGCTGTTTGCGCGTATGTTTGTATGTATGCCACCTCCTCCAAACAAACTCCCCTAACAGCCAACATCCATCCTTAGCCCCCCTTCTCCCCTTTTACATACTACTCTACTCTCTTACATACTTTTGTGGCATATCAGTCCATATCTTGGGCATCAGCTTCACTCGTCCTTCACTCGTCGTGGTCCGTCTCCCTCCCCACCCTCTCCCCCCCCTCAACCCCCCTCACCCCGCCCTCCTTACTTAGCCCTCGGGTCCCAAACCCGCACCACGCCGTCTTGTCCTCCAGTCACAAAGCAACCCCCGCCCTCCCCTGGAGCGGAGGCACCTCCCCCTCCCCCTCCGCCGCCCTCCTCAAACCACGCCAAAGACGTCACGTGGCCCTGGTGCACGTTCTTCATGCGCCAGGATACACCGCCAGATGACATGTCCCACAAGAGGACATGACCACTGCGGTCGCCTGGGGAAGGTTGGTTGGAAGGTGGTTGGAAGGTGGTTGGGAGTTGGTTACAAGGTGGTTAGCAAAGCCTATGGATTTTCTCAAACTGTGAGAAGGCACTGTTCCTAAGCCTTAATCCTGGGGCTTGATTGAGGGAATGACGGGAGGGAGGCGTGTATGTAGGCAAACAAGGGGAAAGACCCGCTTAAACGGGCAAGCAACCGCAAGTGTACGTGAGCGCACCCGGCGGGGCTGCTGTATGTATGTAGATATGTCGGTGCGGAAACCCACGTCAAAGATGCTCCGTCGAGAAAGTCGCGAGTCTAGCTCGTGCTCGTAAAGTCGTACTCGGAACACCGGCAGCTTCCCAACATTTTTTCCCAACCGCTACCAACCGTCAACTGCCAAAACGACCAAAACCGCCGCCTTCTTACCCGACACAATGCGGCCATCCGCGCTGACCTGCATCTCCAGGACGGGAGCCTCGTGACCCTGGGGGGTGTAGGAGGTGGGGGGAGAGAGGTGGGGCAGAGGTGGGGGGTAGCAAGGGGGGGTAGCAGGGGTTATGTGGAGGGTGGTGTTACGGAGGAGGGAAGGTACGCCAAGTGATTGATTTAACTCTTCACCAAAGCTAGGAACGAAACCCCGGCGGGCTGATGAGGGGGTGAGGGAGGGGACGGGGAGTGCTGGGAGTGCGGAGGGTGATGGCGAGCGAGCGTAAGGCGGAAAAAAGGTCCCTAACTCCTAAACTAAAGGACCTAACTTCCTTGTACGACTAGAGGACGACCGAGGGGGGAAGACGACGTGGGGGAAGAGGGAGGGAGCGAGGGAGGGAGCGAGACGGAATATGTCCTCTCTCCCCTCCTCCTCCTCCTCCTCCTTCCCTTCCCCCGATGTGTGTGTGACATGTAAACTGTGGATATCCTGTGGAGCTGTCCTTTCTTTTCCTTTCCCAAAACCGCGGCACCTGAAGGGCCCCTGGCTCCCTACGCAAACGCACTGTCTCGTAAAGAAATAGACGCAGGACATGGCATACATACATACAAACAGAGACGCACTTGCAAGCAGCCCGCCTCGTGGGGCCGAGCTCCAAGCTCCCACAGCCTGATTGTCTTATCGTACGACGCGCTGAGTACGAGATCCGTTGACTTGTCATACTTAACCTGCGGTATGCCGTACGGAATGAGAGACGGGTCGCCGAGAGCCACGGGACATGCCGTGTTCGGGCGCTGTCACATATACATACATACATACATACATACATGCATACATACATACATACATACATACATACATACATACATGCACCCCTCGGAGGTGTGCAGGAACTAGAGATGAATAGCTGTCCACGTAGGAGAAGCCTATGGCCCAGACATAACCCCACCCTTTCCCCCCTCCCGAGCCAACTTTTTAAATATGTTTTGAAAGTATCTACATTCGAAAGTATCCGGTGTCCTTAACCTCCCCCTGCCCCCGACCGGCTTTCATTTCCCCCCTTCCTTTGCCTCATGCTTCACGCCCCATGCAACCGTCCTGCCCCCTGCACCCCAACTACCTGGGAAATGGGGCCAAAATGCGCCTCCGCCACCATCCCTTTGTTCCCCACCGCCGGCCACACCCACAACTTGCTGTCCATTCCCCCCGACACGATACGGCCCTGGGAGGCGTACGACACACACGTAACCCACCTGCGTGTATTCGACGGGGGAGGGGGTTAGTGGGGGGGAGGGAGGAGGGGGAGGGGAAAGGGGAGAAGACGAACCACAAACTTTGTTTGAACTTTGTTTTGTTTCATTGGAAAAGGGGAAGGGAAGGGAGGAAGGGAAGATATGAATAAGATGTGGAAGAACCTGATGCGTTCTCTCCTATATATCCCCTGCCCGCCCACACACCCACGCACCCAAACCCCCCTCCGCCTCCACAAACTGACCTCCCAACCACCCAACCACCCAACCACCAGGTGGTTCCCCTTCTCTTCCATTCCTGCTTTCCCGTTTCCCCTCCCTTCCGCCTTCCTCATCTATCCCTTGTTGCCAACCCTTTCCCCTCCCCCTCAAAACCCACCCCGTTTTTCCACACCCCCTCACCCCCACCCTCGTCTCCCTCCCTTCCCAACCCCAACCCCCAAAAACCTTTCCTCCAAAACCTCCCCCCAAAATTCCCTCCAAAAAACTTCTCCGTATGTTCCACATGTCTTGCTGTACAACGTCCTCTTTTCAATCCGCCGCGATTCGCATCCAGCACGTACAGCGCATGATCCGTGGATCCAATAACCACCTCCCCCCGGATCCAATCAGCGGCAGAACACGTATTGGGACGATCCGACAAATCACATAAGGCCCCGGCGGCATCCACAGGGCCCACCGCCCAGCCGGGGGATACCCGGGCGGGGTAGCGGGACGAGGTGCTGGTGGTTTCGGAGGTGGATGCGGAGGAGGAGCCGCTGACGCGGCGGGCGGCTGCTGCCGTAGGGAAGCCCGGGGCGCTGCCGCGGAAGGCGGCTGGCGGCGCCGCCGCCGCCGGCAGAGGGGGGTTGGTGGCGGAGCCACGTTGCGGTCCTCCTCCGCCGCCAATGGCAGCAGCGGAGGACAGACGGCCGCCACGGGAGGGAGAAGCAACGGCGCGGCCACTGTATGTATGTACGCATTTGTGTGTGGGGGGGGTCGACCAAGTTGGGGGTCAGGTGGGCACTTAGGCGGAAACCATGCATATTCATGTATATTAAATTACATTATATAAAAAAATATATTAATAACATATTAAGTGTATAATTACATTAATTTTAAAATTAATATAATTATATATTTTCGCCCAGGATTGTTAGGGGGGCCAAATGCGAACTGAACAAAATGAAGCAGCTGCCGATGCTTAAAGCCAGCACAGGTTTGTCTGTCTGTTTGTCTGTCGGTGTCGAGGAGGTGTGGAGAGTGTCGGATGTGAAAGCAACGCGGCAGGGATGGTTAGGGAGATAGCAGTGGCCACTTTGAATGGAAGGAGCGGGTTTAGGACACATACATACATACATACATACATACATACATACATACATACATACATACATACATACATACATACGTACGTATAGGCAGGCGGCTGGCAGAGGTTAAGGCCTGACTTCTGCTCCCAGTCGACCCAGTCGACCCGGGTTCAAATCCGCCTGCCGGCTCCTCGGGTGTTTGAGGAGTGATGAAATGGGAGGTGGCCCCCCATCATATGGACGGTGTAGGACGTGATAATATCAACTTGCGAGCTGACCAGGAACTAAGTTGATGCGCCGTTGATCCGCTAGATTTGGTTGGATGCTGGTGGTGAGTTGCCGAACCCAACGAATACATTCTGAAGTCGGATGGGGTGACGGATTAGGGTGCCCCTCTAGCAGGGGAGAGCAGGGACTGCCCCGGGAAAGGGGGCCGCTGGCGAAGTTAACCACCCTGTAACAACATACATACGTACACACACGAAATAGGTCAACGCACGCACTCCCCACTCACCGTGCCGCCGACGACTGCGGCTGGTAGTACGACGGCGGCGGAGGCCCTGACGGATCCTCCAGGGATGCATACATGTTGCGCTGACGCACCGCCAGCGATGTCCCGGCCCGCGCTGCCGCCGCCGCCCCGGCCGTACCACCAGCACCACCACCGCCGCCGCCTCCCTCGCCCATATGCAGCGCGTGTAGCTCCTCCCAAGCCCTCTCAAACTCCTCCATGTACTTGTCGTTCATGATGTGCGACCTTGCGGCTGAGTACTTGCCTGCAACAACAACAACAACAATACCAATCATAACAATAACAACAATAATGCGGAGGAGGAGGAGGAAGAGGAGGAGGACGGGGCCATGGCGATGTGGCCATACGGCCGTGTGGCTGCTAACATGGCTGGGGGGAAGTGCCGCACGTGTACATGTGTCGTACGTGTGTCCGCGCGCATAAACCGATCGGCGCTTTCAATTCCCCCCAGGCCCCTCACTGTACCTCACAATCAACAAAACAAAATGCTGCTGAACAAATATGACACCATTTTAAGCTGACCCACATCAGCTCGAAAGGGGTATTGGTCTTTTATGTATGTCTGAAGTATGTATGTCTGTGCTTGCGGCGGTAAGTGGAGGAGAGAGAGATGGGAAGAGGGTGCTTGCGGTCGGTTGGTGCGTGTTGGGGGGAGGGAAGGGGGGAGAAGGAACTAGCGACTGCGGCCACCAGAGACTACCAGCGATCAAAGCCAAGGTGCGTCGGGCCGGCGTCAAGCAGGGTTTGGGTAATGGTGGGCCCAAAAAGCCCATCTTCAGGAGCAAATGCCGTGCAACACAGCGGCAGCACCACTAGCAGGAGTGCAGGCAGACGTCGGCGAAGGGACGGGAATGAGGAGGAATGTGAAGGCTGTTGTGGGGGCCTAGAAGGGAGGGGTGGACAAAGAGGTTTCTGGAGGTACAGGGTATGGAGGAGCATAAAACCCAGGGGTCCTAGAGTTAAGTACTAGAGCAGGGAGGGACGGGGAAGGGCAGATACGAGTGCTGTTGCTGGCTTGCAATAGGCAACTCCCCGTGGGTGAGGAGTCGGGTGCAGCGTTGCGGGGACGAAGGAAAAGTGAGGGTAACGAAGAGGCAAAGGCCGACCGCAACAGGCACTTCTGCAAGATTTCAGAGCCAAGTAGCCCACCTGCGGGTGGTGGATAGCCACCTCTGCCAGGAGGTTGGCGGCTCATGCTTGAAGCTTTCTGGTTGACCAGCAAGGAGGGATGTAGTGGCCTTCACGGACCAAGGTTTCCAGTGCGGCCTCCTTTCCAGACCAAAACAGGAAACAGCCGTGGTTTTGATAAGATTAGCGATATGAAGGCTACCCTGGAAGGGCTTGGTCTGGGCCTGTTTGCACAGGGAGATGTGGCCTGAGAACCTTAGTGAGTAGACATGGTAAGTCACCAGCGGATTAATACAGGAGAAAAAGTCAGTCAGATCTCGCGTAAAATAAGGACTTGTTCGGGAATGCGTAAAGCAGTTCTTGATGACCCCGCGAAATGTCGTGAAGTCGTGAATCGAATACGTCAAAACAAGGATGGACGGACTGAGCTAACTTTTTGTTAACAGAAGTACAAGCTACGCATGATTTTGAGGTTTTAGTAAAACTTACACCCTTGGAACTGATAGCCAACACACTTTACAACCCTCACACAGGGATTTCGTCTGCATTCCTCTTGTCTCCTTCGGTACCACAAGTGCTGGCTACACAATTATGACCGTCGCCCAAAAGCTTCAGGCTTTTTGGAACCACCCGGCGGGCCCAAAGACGAGTGAGCGAAGTCTACCATTAACTTTTTTAGATAGCAGCGCTTGCGAACTCTCGGTATTTGAGTCGACATTTTATATGATTTCGGTGATCTTTTGGCGCCGCAGTCCACTTCTGGGCCCCTACCTTCAAATGGGGTATCTCTCTGGCGAACATTGCCGACATCAACCGCCCTGCTGAAAAAATCAGCTTGCCACAACAGTGCGGTGAGATGCACCCTCCATGTTTAATCGACGGCGTCCTGGCGAACATCCTACAGACACGTGCTTGGCCTCGCTGTCCCGGAACAGGGCCGGTCAGTTTGTAGAACTTAATCCCCCCTCACGTGTGATGATGGTCGCTATATGGGCCTGAGGCAACTTTTTGTAACAGCATGATGCTTACGAGATCCCTGCGTCCCTGCCCCGGCGACTGCTCACCACGCAGCCATTACGGCCACCGGCGTGATCTGGTCACGGTACAGCACCCAGATCACGCCAGTCAATTATAACCTACTCGCCGTCAACGCTTTCATGGCTCTCACGGGCGCCTACCAGCTGTTCCGAAAGATCAGGTGCGCTGACTTCCATCAGACAGTGTCCCATGACAGGTGCCTCCCTTCCGGTGACCTGGCCCGGCCGCATCCGGCCAGCACTCATTCCCGTCCCCTCGCACCTCGTCCCATGCCGGTGCCCCATCCCGGCCCTGCTTCCAGCAGGGCCGCACGCATCTGCTGTGAATGCCCCCGTCTCATGCTTGGTTGCGCGCACACGCTTATCCTGCGGCCCGGCTCTGTTGATCCATGCCTCCTAAACTCCCTTCCTTTTTCGCCTGCCGTGCTCTCCCGTCTGTCATTGCCGCCCGGCCCGGCGTGTACCGCGCTGGTCCTCTGCCGCTACCGTAACCTCAACCCTCAACACCAGCTACGACATGGCGCAACCCGCTGCTACCGCCTGAGCAAACGTCCCGGGCGTCAAGCAATCACCAGCCTGACGCCTGAGCCGCGAACTGCCTGCTAACAACACCTCGGTTGGTGTAGCAGCAGCACCCTATATCTGTATGGCTCTTACGGACAGGAGCTGGACAATTTTTAAAACGAGCCCCATCTTCCGGCATCTGGCGCGCAGTGGGGACTGATCTACACATCTTGAACACTTGGGGACTTCCCCCCAGATGGAGCATTGAGGCCCGGAAGGGCAAAGAGGTTGTGAGGGCCTGCAGGCAATCCGAGCCTGTCGTTCCCGGTGTGCGGTTGTTGTGCAGTGCCACTCTCCCCCTTTCTTCTCCCCCTTCTGCTACAAATCACTCGGCGCCCCCTTAGAAACTCTCGTCCACAGATTCCACCTCCCCTCTGTTCAAACTGCTATGTTTTCTCCCTCCGTGCTTGTCACTGCTCCTGGCCTGGACTGGACTGCTCCAGGGATGTCAGCCCTGATGAGAGGGGTAGGGGAGCCTGGGGGATAACAAAGGTGATGGGGGCATGGAGGAGTCCATCGCCGTAAGAGTTCATGTTCCATATGTAGCTATCATCCAGCAGCATCATCATCATGTTGGGCGTCGTTTGTAAAATGCACATGGACAATGAGGGGAGCTCTGCACCGCAGGTCCCAAATGATACGGAGTGTAGGAGGGGGGGGAGGAGGAGGAGAATGACTGTCCTTCAGCCAGCTGATCACGTGAGGAGGTGATGTGATGTGATGCGATGTTAGTAGGTGTGTAGGTAGCAGGAAAGTGGCTACATGGTGGTTTCCAGCCCACCAATAGTGATGTGGCCTGGAGATCAGTCTCGGATTGCGGCGCTGTTTGCTTTTTGGTTCTCGCGCTGTATCGGATGCGAGTGGTCGTCAATCGCGGCGTCGGCCACCTCTATCCAATGCTGTTGCGGTGGCGGTTTTGATGGTGGTGGTGGAACTGGATATACTGTGAGCTGTTGGGGGGCTCCGGATGCCCGTGGGAAGGTGTATAGGTTCTGGGAAACGGAGAGGTGTCGTCGTCGGGGGGGGATACACCGCCCTGACATATGTGTGGGGTCGGGTTGATCTCGGTCCACACACTCCCTCTGGTCTATGTGCTTCCCGCCGCTGCTCGTGCTTCCTGTTCTTCATGGTGGCATGGTGGCAGAGAAGAGAAAACACTGCCCTGAAGTATTTTAAGTGTTGTGTCCGTGTGTCCACATCTTTTTTGTGTTTGTTTGTTTGTGCATACGCATGCGTGTCCAAGTGATAGACTCGCGTGCTGGTTTTCCGCATCTCAGCAGAGCGTGAAAACTGCTAGCTTTGGATATCACCACTTCCCCCATAAAGCCGCTGCCACAGAAACGCTACTACCATCCAACTAAGCTTACGTTGGCCTACGTTTACGTTTTACAAGCTTCAAGCTTGTACGGTCCAGACGAGCCAAAAGGCTCATGAACCGCCAAACTGGAAACAAGAACTTAAAAAGAAAAATGCCAATACCCAACAATAACAGATTGATTAATCTTTGCCCTTCTTTGCATTAGCTATCGTTGATTATCGTCCAGTACGGCATGGTATGACATGTCCGATGTTGGTTTTAAGGGCCCAAGTCGCGAATAGGCGCGGAGGGCACACACGGTTCGTCCGAGTTCCGTCCGTGCTTGAGCGCTGCACTTTCGGTATTTAGGTTGTTCTTGGCAAAACCCCTTTTTTGAAAACCCAAATAGCATAGTATAGTAAGAAATAGTAGTATTTCTAGTAATGTAGTACTATGATACTACTACTACGGAGGTGCACGCTCCCAGTAGAAGAGGGGTGTACGGCCAACCGTTGTAACTGAAAATTATACGTTGGAAAGGTCTTCTTTTGTTCTTTATAAAAATCTACTTAGGCATATGATAGCGGATCGCTGCAGTCCTCCAGAGCGCTTCTTAGCTCCGTGCCCGGTGTGGGTGCACCCCAAAACCCATGTCTCGTGGCGTGTTTTGGCACATAACTACCAACAGAAGACCCAGTGATCACAGGAAAGCACACGGACGTCACACCATTAAAGTCCCTGCGCTACAAACCCCCGTAAGGCCCAAACACAGCTCAATCCGGCATCTAAGTCCTCGTTCTGGGTTCGCGGCGCTGAGCGGCTCATCGCAGTGCAAGCAGACTAGCTTTGGCAAACCAGCCCACCATTCCACATCAAAGTTGTCCCAAAGACCACCCGCCCTAGAGTTATTCTTCTGCGTTTTTAGCTTCTTAAGCCGGACTAAGCCAGCCGAGCCAAGCAGGAGCTTTAAGCATGTAAGCTGGTTCTGTTCTAGGTTGTCTTTCAGGGGGGGGGTCGAGCCCCATGTCGGACGCCGTTGGCTGGAACAATGTTCCACACGCTACAAGTATGTCCAATAGCACTAAGCCATTGGCCTCCGAAACCTGCTTATACACGCAGAGCCTCGGACTTCCGCAGAGAGCTCTTATTGTATAATCATTACCCACAGCCAAACGACAAATGTTTGGCCTCTTCGCACTCGCATTTATGGCGAAGTATCGACTGATCCACGCCGGGCCTTATCACATGAGGCCCTATTCTGGATGCGCAGCGTTTATCTGACTAACGAAAGACGAGCAACAATTGAACATCGTCAAACAACAACGGAAAGCGCCTTATCAGCGCTAGTCAGGCAACACCCTAAGTCTCAACTAAATCAAGACAAGATTCGTCCAACTACCTTCGGTTGGCTTAACCACCTGTGGATAGCGACTAACTCGGTGGTGGCACATAATTTGTGCGCTCCAGATGTTTTGGCGTGACATCTCGTGCTGGGCGCGGTGGACGTCAAGGGGGACGTCGGCACCAGGTTGCAAGCCTCTGAGCGCCACGTCATTCTTTATACTAGGATCCCTCCTCATTGTTCATCACAAACCATGCATTGAGGCTCCTAGACGCGAGTATGGCCCTTCAAACTACAGCTTGATCGCAGATCTCTACTTGGTCCAACTACTTCTTGACACTATCCAAGCTCACATCTAGTAATACATAATAATATTTTCACTACTCTCTATACTGTTTATGTGGACTATATTATAGTCCACATAAACATGCTAGTTTACTATGTACGGACACGGGATGAGCGTCGTAAACTAGTGCCACTGTCATGCCCCGCATAGTATATAGTACTATTCCGAGTATTATTCTAGTATAGCACTATCTTCTAGTATAGTAGCCGTGCCAACCCTAGCCAACATGTCACATGTGCCGTAAAACAATGTTTTACGTCAACTCGGGGTGATCGAAGAGGAGGGGATCCAGACGACGTCTGTCTGTATGTGCGATTGCCTGTCTGTACGCCAGTCTGTACGTACGTCAATCTGTATGTCTGTGCATCTGCCTCTCTGTATGTCTGTATGTATGATCTGTCTGTTGGCTGCTTACATATGCGTCAGGATGTATTCGAAAAAGGCGAAGCAGCATCAATAGTAACCGCCCATGCTTATACGTTGATGTAGTAGCTGGCCGCTGAAAAGGCCTCTTGAGATGCCGGTGAAGCGCTTAGCGCGTAATTATAGTTGATACATGTGCCGTACTGTGTACCAGCTACGGCAGATGGTGTGGAGCAGTAAAGTACCTGTGTATACGCGTCCGTATGTATGACACGCAGCTGCAGG